CATTGCCCGCAATCCGGTCCGGGCTGAACAAAATGCTGCAAGCACTAATTTGTTCGGACCGAACCGTAGGCATTGATGTGCCTTCTTGTTAACAAAGCACACCTGATTTGAGAAAAGAAAAGCACAGAGTTCCTGTTTGTGCAATGAGTTTTGATGACAGCTTTAGAATCTGTTTTTGCCCTTTTATTGCAGTAGCCCCCTTTTCCAATCATACGTCTTCCACAGCTGTCATGTCAGAGATTGTGAAAATGAACAAATTCAACTTGCTACCCCAGGTCCTGGCATTCTGAAAGCAGCTGCCATAGGAATTTCAAAGTTTCCCCTAACCCAGGTGTACTGGGTTAGGGGAAACTCATGACAGATTCATTTTAGTTCCTGACTCAAATGCCTTACTTTTCAGAATCCTGTCTGGAAATTTACAAACAGAACAGTGACTTTAAAACAGCTACCGGTACTGTTCTGACAGGTATGATGATTAGCAAATGATATGATAGGTAAGTATTGGAAATCTCAATTTTTATCACAATATTTCTTTTAAAAGGCTTTTATATCTTCTTGTGTTAAACAGTTATAAACATGCTAGAAATTCAAGGTAAAGTACAGTCTATGTTCTTTCTGTAGACTTCATCTTCTCTTCTATGACAATTAAAGAGTTCATTGTTAAAAAGTCTATTTTTGTCTCCATCACCCCTCATTTCATGTTCTGTTCCTATAAAGAAATGTGAAGGGGTGTTTGTTTTAACTTTACAATCCTTCTGTTTCATCCTTTTCAAAGGAAATTCAAAAGACTTGTGATTACTGTACAAAGGTCTGAGAATAAAGATAGAGCTCCTGTAATGTTTAATGTGATTTCATTCATTCTAAACGTTAAAGAAATGGATGAAAGCACGGCATGTACGTTTCAAAAGAAATGAAAAAAAGAACATTAAAATTGTTTTACTTACATTTCCGCTTATCGAACGACTAAAGTGACAGTGGGAGTTCTTATAAAGGTAGCCTATTACTTACCCAAAACAAGCTGGTAAACATAATAACATGTGGGGGATCATAAACCACAGGTTTTATTTATAAATATCTTAGCTAGGAAAAAAGTCCTGCTGATCCCACATTAGCCACTTTGCATCACACAGCACCCATCAGACCTTTAGAATTAGGTTGGTTGATGTGGGTAACGCCTAACTACTTTTCACAGTTTTATTTGTTTTTCTAAATGATTCCTGGTAGAGATGAATCAAATAAAGAAATACTCAAAGGAGGTAATGTTCAGTTTAAAGAAGCACTCTGGGGAACTTTTTTTATTAACCCTTGTGCAGTGGGGCTTCCTCCGCCCTGCAAGGGTTAGGGGCTTGTTTGTGTCTAGGGAAAAAAATAACAAAGTTATACTCACCCGATCCTCAGAGCTGACTGGTCCCTAGAACCTCTCTCACCCGATCCTCGGAGCCGATTGGTCCCTAGAACCTCTCTACCCCTCCGCTGCAGCCGGCTAATGTCCCTGAATGTCCGTGAATCATCACATTCCACACATACAGGAATAAGGACGCTGAGGGAACTTCCATCGCTGCAGTGGAGGAGAATACAGGCTAAAGGGAGCGCTGTCAGAGGATTGGGTGAGTATAACTTTGTTATTTTCCTCCCTAGACCAAAACGAGCAGTTAACCCTTGCAGTGCAAGTGTAGCCCTACTGCAATGGTTAATGAAACATTTCCCCAGACTTATGCTTTAAGGTTTCTCTGGCAATTCAGTGAAATTATCATGGATTTTGGCCAAAGTACATATTTTTTTTAAATTCCAGTCCATTCAAAGTGATATTTTATTATAGGTGGAACCTGGTGGGTGTAGTCAACCCTTCTGTTCCATGTGTTATATACTCCAACAGTAAGATCTGCCTGCCATAACTTCTGACTCTGTTTCTGTCCACCTGGGAGTTTGAGGTATCAATGTTTCACTTGCTGCTCTTACCTTTTTCTTCACATAAAATAAAAAAAAATCTGACTCAAGCTAAGTTATCTAACCAACAAGAGAGATATAACAAACTGTCAGGGGTTTTAACTCTCCAGCCTCTACCAAACAGTAACCTATACATTTTGGGTGGACTGTCCCTTTAAATGTTCAAGGTTATAAACTGAAGTGTTATGTGCTAATTGTTTGCATAAAGTTGTTGTTTTAGAAAAAACATTTTAAAACTGAGGGATCTATTTATAAACAACTAACAGTGACATTGGTCCTGTGAATCTATGTGAATGTTCATTCTGTGGGAATAGATGCACAAAATCAAAGTTCTTGCATATTTTCTTTATACATGAAATGTATTTTTGAATGTGATCTTGTAATACAGCATTACAGCCACTAGATGGAGCTGAGGAGCATAGGAAATAAGCATGTATTTCCTACGCTCCTCAGCATAACTTAGTGGCCATAATGCGCTATTTTTTAATGCAAGCAGTTTAAGTACAGAATTTGCCTTGCTACTAGTTGATTGCAGTCCCTGTGCAGCAGGGCTAGGGTGAGAGAGGGTGACTCAGCACAAGGGGCCAATCAGATTATATGCTGACAGAAGCACATGAGGAGAAACTATAGAGACAGACAGATGAACACATCACTGTGCTGCTCCTTTCACTGTCCAGTCACAGGCTTGGACAGGTCCAAAATGACCTGGGCTCAGAAGCCATTGGTCCCGTGAATCTACCTGATCCTCGGTCCCTCAGCGATCAGCACCCATGTCTATCCCCCTCTGCTCGGGCTTTGAAATGTCCCTCAGTTTCCTCACGTGTAATGAAGGTCTACAAACCTGCATAATAGATGATGATGTCATCTGGTCCTTAGATCACCAGAGCTCAGGAAAGAAGAGGCTGTGTGGACCGCTCTAGCAGCCTGGAGGTGGCCAGCAGGACTGAGGATCTGGGAAGTTAATCTGCTTTTTTTGAGCCCCTAGACAAAATGAGAGATTAACCCTGGCAGTGTGGGGGTAGCCCCACTGCAAGGGTACATTTTGTGATTTTCCTGGAGTTCTTCTTTAAACCTGTACTGGCAGAAATACGGAACTTGTCATTGCAGGCAACCCTTTGAAAATGCCAGTTGCCTGGCTGCTTCTGTCTTCAAGTCTGATTCGCTGCCGTAGAACAAGCATGCAACAAGAAAAGCCAAAACTCCTGATCTGAAAACTTTTTTCTGCTCAATGACAACTCACTGAAGACACAGGATCATATACAGGGCCAAAGAAACAATACTTTCCATATTTCCTCAGCACAAGTTCCCTGTAATACATTTCACTGCATTTCTGCTATGTCCATGTGATGACCATACCAGATTTTAAATACATTTGGAGCACCAGCAAAGCAATGCCAAATAAAAGCTTATAAACTGTATACGGAAGGGGGAAAAAAGGTGTGAAATCATTATGGCACGCAAAGCGGTTAGCAAGTTATTCTTAAAGTGACACTAAACTCAGGAGTTAAAGGAGAACTATGAGATGAGTGATTTCCAATCCCAGTAACACAAATGTATCTTATTTGTGTATCACTCAGCTGTAGATCCACAAATCTTCTCTGAGTTTGTGCTGACACTGTCCTTCCTTCTGGAGGGTGGCTACTTTTGTTCCCCATGGTCCCTGTTTTGTAAAGTAGCCACCGCTCCAAACCCGCTCCTGTGATGGACTACAATCTCAATACAAATCATAAAAGTAATCATGAGATTGTAGTCCATCACAGGAGTGAGCTTGGAGCGTTGACTGCTTTACAACACACACAGGAACCATGGGGAATAAAAGTAACCACCCTCCAGAAGGAAGGACAGTGTCAGCACCAATTCAGAGATGATTTGAGGATCTACAGCCGAGTGATACACAAATAGGGTTCAGCCTTATTAATAGTTAAGGTACTTGAATGCTTGATTAAAGGAGAACTATGGGGCTCTATCTTTTTTTTATGAATGCATTCCTTAGGCTAAATAAGTAAATAATGTAATTTACTCTAATTAGCCAAAATGCACAGTAAGGCTGTAAAACCTTATTTTAGGTGGTGGGCGGGGCTAAGCGCCGCAATGAGAAGACATCCCGACGTATCTGATGGGATCCTCCCCACTGATGACTGACAGTGATTCTTGAGAGCTGCTGCGCGTCCACGAATATATGGACATGCGCAGCAGCTCTCTCCTTACCTGCAGGTCCCCGTATGCCAGCTCCTTCCCCCTCTCTCTCTCTCTCCCTGCTGACACTGACATACTGACATACTAAAACGATCGTGGATCGCTGATGACAGAGGGGAAGGAGCTCTGTCAGTCATCAGTGGGGAGGATCCCGTCAGATACGTCGGGATGTCTTCTCATTGCGGTGCTTAGCCCCGCCCACCACCTAAAATAAGGTTTTACAGCCTTACTGTGCATTTTGGCTAATTAGAGTAAATTACATTATTTACTTATTTAGCCTAAGGAATGCATTCATAAAAAAAAGATAGAACCCCCTAGTTCTCCTTTAAGGTTTAACTCCTGAGTTAATGTCACTATAAGACATCTTGGGAAGTGCCATGCCACCATTTTTTATCTTTGCTTTACCACTACCAGAAGAGATTAAAATAATATCTGATGAAGCAATGCACTTTGTTTAGGTCAATGTAAGTCTACATATAGGTGAGACATATCAAGTGATATATGATACATTTGTATTATTAGTTAAGGTACTTGAATGCATTTTAAGGTTAAACTCCTGAGTTTAGTGTCGCTTTCATAAAGTAAACCAGCCCTTAACCCCTTCGTGACTGACGACGTACAGTGTACGTCGCCAGCATCGGGGCTGTTTAAACAGACTCCCGGCGACTTATACATTGGTGTGATAACATGGATATAAAATTAGAGCTGCACATGAAGGGGTAAAGAGTTCAGCCCTTCTCTCATTATGTATACTGATTACACATACAGTACTTTGCTAACACTGATATGGCCTTCTCTGAATACAGAAATGTTCTTTTATTAGGGAAGAGTCACCCCAAAGTCTATTTGTGACTTACCAAACACAGTCCGAGCTGGGACCGACTCTCTGTTCAACCAGAATGACACTTGGGATAGAATCACCGTCATTATACACGGCAGGTATGTCTGGATAACAAAGTAGCCGATCTTTCTTTTCAAATGAAAATGTGCTGTCATGACAGTGTATTCACCTGAAAAAAAAAAAAAAAAGAAGAAATAAAAGGGATAATGTCATATGTAGGAAACTGTCATTTTATTTGGAATAAATATACTGGGCAAAAACAATCCAGTGCGCATATGAAAGCAAACAAATGAGGAGCCACAACGTAGACAAGTGATTACAGCCCGGCTGAGAGCCTTGATGAGGTTTAGAAAATCCATTGATGACTGATGCTTTCCCGTACGAAATCGGATTTCTGTATTTGACTAATCCCTGGTTACAATCTGTGTCCTGCTCTTTGTGATCCATCCTGCCGGCAGAATCCTGCCTACCCAGATGTACTATATATGGCTTTACTGCACTTGGAAAAGCCTTCCCGATCTGTCCACTGGGAACAGACAGATACACGGCCAGGGTCACAGACAGACACACAGCCCCTGACACTGCCGGACACGCTGCCACCGACACTGGGACCGACACTAGGACCGCATTGCTGCTACTGCTGCGGGAGCCTGCTTTGTTCTGCTGCGGACTACTTGCTGGAAGAGCCCGGGGACATGCCTCGCTGTGTAGCCTTCATCATCTCACTGCTCGTACTAAAAGTGACCGGACAATTGCCATTTATAGCAGACAACAACGCTGCCATGATGGTCAACTGGTAAAGTTGCTCTATTACTTCTGCCATGCTGTAGAACCTGAGTGTTAGTGCTGTGATTGGCATTCTGTAGACCCCCATGTTTCTAACCACCCATAAACAAACTTGTTTGAGTGTGTGGAGGGTTTGGATGTGATTTGTCTTTCTAAAGGCTGATGTCAGATGGACGACTCAGTCGCTGGCAATACTTCCACTGTTGATTTGTCGAAATTGCATATGGTTTAACCGGAAAATCGCTGTCAAGTCAATGGAACCTTTGACACCTCTGCATTGCATCACGTAGACGAAATCAGCTGTCGTGCAAAAATGCAGGAGCTATTTTTGGGCAGTTTTCGCATGGTTTTGGTCCCAAAGATACCTCTATGAAGAAGGAAACGTGCGATTTCCGCAACGTGATTAGTCAAAAAAAAAAAAAAACAGCTCAAAAATGCAATCATCTAGGTGTGAATCAGGCCTGAGAGACCATCTGTTTATCCCTATGGAATTGCTCCCTTTGTAGCTGAGGCATCGACGTGTCATTCCCATCACTAGCGATACAGATTCAGCAGCGTTCAGGTCAGCGACAGAGCAACATCTCGCTAAACCTGGTTATAGAGGGAGCGATTCTGTAGGGACAGACAGGTAGTTTTTTAGCGATCTGGCAGCTCGCGTTTGGGCTCACACAGGGCCGGCCTTAGGCCTTTAGCCGCCCTGTGCGAGAAAGCTTTACAGCGCCCCTCAGTGGCCACACCCCTCAGTGGCCACACCCTTTAGTGGCCACACCCTTTAGTGGCCACACCCCAGTAACCACACCCATTTATCACCCATATTTTTGGTAAAATATAAAAAGACGGGGTCACGTCGGGTAAATAGACACCAAACATGTCATGCTTTAAAATTGCGCGCACCCGCAAAATCGCAAAAAATTACCATGCCCAAAATTGACCATAGGTGACGCTTTAAAAGCTTTTACCGCTCATCAGTTTAGTGTTATCAGTGATTGATAGCCCTACATCACACCCAGTTCACACATAGGCGTCAGCATTTTTGCACCTACCTATGCGCATTTTCAGTTAGCGCTTTTGAGCATCTGATGTGCGTATGTTAATGTTAGATTCTGAGACATTGGTGTAAATGGGCAAACGCGCACGAAGTCAGATACACAAGCGTGCAAACACATACATAAAGAGCTGCACAAACTGTTGGCGCTATATAAATCCTGTATAATAATAATACATAATTTATAGTGTCGTACGTTTCCAGGCATCCTCTATTGAGTCTATGGGGACAAAATGTGCTATAAACTGCCAAACAAACTCATGTACTTTTTGGAGCGCCTGGCGTTTTACAGCTTGTGACTAAACGCTCAGGTGTGAACAGGGGCCACAGGAATGAATGTGATTTCTCGCTTAGCAGCAGAGTTGACCGACATTACTTTAAGGCTTTAAGCTTGTTAGAATATATAATTATACAAATATGCAGTCACTGGCTGTTTTTCTTGGAAAGCGTTGCATTCGAGTTGTTGATTTCAAATGTGTGTAAAGCCAAAACTTTTTTGCTGTCTGCTTACCATTAGATACGTAAGAGAAAGTTAGAGGAAATCTCCCAAAGTGACGCACCTGTTAGACAGTTGTCGCTGAAACAAGTGTAACCAGCTGACAATTTCCCTTTACCTCTTGTTCTGGACTTCCCCTCATTTTTTTTCAATGGTCACCAGTACAAATCAAGGGGTGAATCTCGCCAACGAGGACACAGCATTAACAACTTGACAGAAGGTCTAACCCTCCCCACTCTATCCAAAACTAAAAAAAACAAGGTTTTGCTTAGAGAGACAGATTTAAGCTTGGCAACCTGTGGTAGTATGGTACTGTGATGGCTGCCACTGGAACTATACATATATCCTAGGTCACCAGAGCTTGCCATCTTATATAAGAAAGTAGTGTCTGTGTGACCTGGAGACACGTGATGTCAGAATTCCCCCACTCCTCCTTCTCCCCCCGGCAGAATCAGATCAGCCAAAGGAAGCACGGAGCTACCACAGCAGCAAGCTTTTAAGAGGAGATCAGCACGTGTCCCGTGTGGATTAAACCTTCCTTTCCTCTAACGCTTACACATCTGGTAGCAGGCCTGCTTGTGCTCAGCCCTAGGAAGTCTTCACAGCCACATGTGTGTCTGTGCTTATGATGACAGGTGCAGTGTGTATCTGACATTGACCCTGGTTGTGCCCCAGAGAGCCATGCTGACAATGCAGGGCAGTGATGCACAGGGCATTCTTGATGGCTTTCTGATACTCACTATAGTAACATTGGCATAAAGCAACATTATCGGCAGCTTGTATTATGAATCAAAAGGCGTGTAGGCTCAGTCAATGACATGTGGGTGTAATTATTCTGGTCTGAGCATTGCCATCCTGATGTCATAGTGGTCTCTTGTTGCTTGTCAGACTTCTATGCAAAAAGAAATGTGTTATGCAAGTGTATTTCCACAAGTGAAAACAGAAAGTGCTCTCCCTCCTTCCTGCAAAACAGTTCCACACAACACTTGTGCACAACCAAGGCTTTCACCAGCCCTTCATGATAAGCAGTAACAAAAAAATAAATGCAAACTGTTCTGCATCCAATCAAAATTCATGATGGATTTCCACTTTTGCAACCAAATTGGAATAACATCTGCTTTATATTTGTTACATGTTTACATTTATATAACATAACGTAAAACAAATATTTGATAGATTCTGGTTAAATTTTTAAGTGCGGTACTTGCTTTACAAATTCTACCTAACCTCCCTCCATGTAATGTCGAGGAGAGGGCTGTGGGTAGTTGTGTTTACTCTGATTAACCCTGCCTGTAGTGTGCTGGCAGAAATCACTATCACTTGTAAACTAGATTTAAACACTGTCTATCCCAACAAAGGTTTTTAGAAATTTTATGTTAAAGAATTATGGGGTAGAGTGAAATACACTCTGCTCCATAATTAAAGCCGAGGTGCAAAACTGAAGCTGTCACAGGTCGGCTCTGTTGATCGAGAACTGATCGATCACATACCGCCGATTGCTCAGTTCCCGATCATCTCCCTGCAGAGTGGTGACTGTCAGTTTCCACTTCCCGCAAGGATTCCCCCCTCCCCTCTCTATTTCTCTGTTGGAAGTAGGCTTCCCAATCATATGATCTCTGTGATTGTTTGTCAAAGTGGTGAAATAACCGGGAGTATGCACCACGAGCCCCCAATCATAAATGATGACCAGGACCTGTAAATAACAGCTCAGTCACTGTTCTGGGAGCACAGACGTGAGTGCACTCTGAGCACAGAACAGCGGGCCAGCTGTTTATGCATACAGCTGGCTTTAAAGTCCACCCGTCGTGCTGACTCATAGGTGTGTTATGTTGGTAGGAAGTGGCTAGTTATCAATACTAGAGGATACGTATATTTGAACTTTTTTACTTTAAGTGCACGTAAAGGCATTTTGTTTTAGTTTGGGATAGAGTATGGCAGGATTAGAGCCTTTGTCAAGTTTTTCATGCTCATAAAGCTCTGCAAACATTAGGTCATAGAAGCAATTTGTATTGAATGTTTATTCCTAAAAAAAAAGATTTATACAAGTCAAATAAAAAGTGACATAAAGAGACTCAGTACAAAGAGACAAAGAGACTTGAAAGTACAATCCCCCACCTATGGATACGTTCGGATAAATGTGGAAGACTCTAAAATTGATGGACTGATTTGAGGCATTTCTAGTCAGCATTGACAGGTGTCTTATATAGACTATATACAGTATGTATGTATACTTGCCTGACTGCATTGTGCCAAGTGTAAAGTTTGGTGGAGGTGGGATTATGGTGTGGGGTTGTTTTACAGGGGTTGGGCTTGGCCCCTTAGTTCCAGTGAAGGGAACTCTTAAGGCATCAGCATACCAAGACAATTTGGACAATTTCATACTCCCAACTTTGTAGGAACAGTTTGGGGATGGCCCTTCCTGTTCCAACATGACTGCGCACCAGTGCACAAAGCAAGGTCCATAAAGACATGGATGAGCGAGTTTGGGGTGGAGGAACTTGAATGGCCTGCACAGAGTCCTGACCTCAACCCGATAGAACACCTTTGGGATGAATTCGAGCGGAGACTGGGAGCCAGGCCTTCTCGTCCAACATCAGTACCTGACCTCACTAATGCGATTCTGGAAGAATGGTCAAACATTTCCATAGACACACTCCTAAACCTTGTGGACAGCCTTCCCAGAAGAGTTGAAGCTGTTATAGCGGCAAAGGGTGGGCCAACTCAATATTGAACCCTACGGACTAAGACTGGGATGCCATTAAAGTTCATGTGTGTGTAAAGGCAGGTGTCCCAATACTTTTGGTAATAATAAATATATAATATATTCTTTTACATAAAGAGC